AATATCAGAATTGTGCGAAATTCAATTTGCTATTACCCCGATTGCAAAATAAAAATAAAAATAAAAATAAACGAATGTTTGTCTATATAAGAGTGTGCGAAATGAAAGTGGCAATGTGCGTAATATTTGAGCCAAATGAGTTGTCATTGCACTGCACCAAAGTTTAATATCGAGAGCTGTCAACTCTGACAGTGAAACACATTCATTCTTCGATAAAATTTTTGTTGGGTGTTGTGCGCTCATGTGAAAAATATGCGAGATTAAGATGTCACTTTGGCGGCAACAATAAACGAACTCAACTGGTAAATGAAGTTTTCCGCATTTAGGCATGATAACAGTGGCAAACGCCCACACACATTCAATCCTGCGGCAATACGTATACGCGTATACTTGTACTCGTAGAAGCTCAAGTACACACGCACAGAAAGATACAACAACAAATAGAAACACAGTTTAAAAAGTATTAAAGGAATATTTAAGACTCATTTGAATATGCTGTATCCTCCTTTTTGCCAAAACCAATTTTTTTTTAAGTTTTTTTTGTTGCTTTTCTACCTCACTAAATTCATTTTCCTTTCTAGCATTGGTTCCATTGTACAAAGTCGTCAATCAAAATTGTGGCTACAATTCGACTCCATTTTCCGTTTCACCGAGGACTACAAACGCCACGACAGCTATATTAAGACATTGCATGGTTTCTCGAATCGTGTGATACGCGAACGCAAAGCTGAACTAGCAGAGAATATACTCAACAATAATGTCGCCAACTCATCCGACGCTTATGATGATTTAGGCAAGAAGAAGCGTCTCGCTTTCTTAGATCTACTTATCAATGCTTCGAAAGATGGTACTGTACTGTCGAATGAGGATATACGTGAAGAAGTCGACACATTCATGTTCGAAGGACACGACACCACCTCGGCGGCTATATCATGGACACTATTCCTGCTCGGCTCTTATCCTGAATATCAGGAACGTGTGGTGGAAGAGCTGCATTCCATTTTCGGCGATGATAAAGAGACACCAGCTACCATGCAGAATCTAATGGATATGCGTTATTTGGAGTGCTGTATCAAAGATGCGCTACGCTTGTTCCCCAGTGTGCCAATGATGGCGCGCTCCATTGGCGAAGATGTGAAAATCGGTGAGTTGACTAAAATATGTATATATGTACATAAGTACTTGCTTCATTACTTATTCGTTGTTTTCTGCTAGGTAACTACTTGGTTCCCGCTGGCACTACGGCAATCATTGTGACCTACATGCTGCATCGCAATCCCAAAGTATTTCCCAAGCCAGAACAATTCAATCCAGATAATTTTCTGCCTGAGAATTGTGCTGGCCGCCATCCCTTCGCCTATATACCTTTCAGCGCTGGTCCGCGTAATTGTATAGGTCAGAAATTCGCCATACTCGAAGAGAAAGCGGTATTGTCAACGATATTGAGGAAATATAAAATCGAATCCATCGATCGCCGCGAAGATCTCACTCTGTTGGGTGAGCTGATTTTGAGACCCAAGGATGGCCTACGCGTGAAAATAACGAAACGTCCATGAAAAGAAAAAGCAGAGCACGCCAATTTTGCGTATACAAAAGCATAGCATTAAATACTATTTAAGTATTGTTTTATGTAATTGTAAGTAGTTTTAGGAATTACCTTAAGCCCCGATGAATTTATTTTAAATTCTCAAGCGCAAAAATTGCCTCCCGAGCAACGGGATTTTAGTTTAACTTAAGTATGAATGAAAGGTAGGAAGGAGTCGATCCGGCTACATTTTGTGTAGTAAAAAGCTTTCGGAAAATTTTTAAAATTGTAATACATATATGTAGCGTGTAAGCCCTTTGTACCAAATATAAAGTTGTATGATTTAAAGAGTAAAATCCATTGATGTAAATAAAGATTTAGGAACTAAGATATTTAATTTTCAATCATATGTACATACATACAATACAATTTAATACAACACAAACATATGTACATATATATGTAATACATATGTAAACACGAACATAAGAGAATATATTATGTAACAAAGAAATTTGTCAGCTATTGATTTAGAAACGTATCCAAAAGGGTACAATTGGATAAAGTTATTTTTTGTACTTTAATCGTTGAACAGATGGAGTTGGTCCTTGTTCGAAGACATTCGCGTTTTTGCGATGTATTTTGCAATGTATTTTCAATTTGATTAGTAGACAAATCGGTTTTAGCCCTTTTGTCACATTCAGTGTCATATTTTTTTCTGAGAAACAATTTTGGACAGGAGACGCTTATTTTTCCAAACTCTGTTTAGTAGCACAGCTAGAGCTTTTGGTAATAGACAGGCTAGTTGTAAATGTCGCGATAGTGGGTATCCATGCTAATGCATAAAAGTAAGGACAGGACCCAAACGATCTCCAAACGTTTATTGACTAAAATTTTCAGCAAACGCAACGACCATTTGAGCTCATGTTAAAAAATAATATTAAAAAAAAACTTTTTAATATACAACGCTTTTATAAATGGACTAAAA